ATGGTGATTTAGAGGATCCCGACGGAAGAAAAAACCTATCGTTTGATTCCCTCATTCTTTGTAAGTAATCAACCCATTTACTCTTCATGTGTTTCCGATAAGTCTGTAGGTCCTTCTCGACACTTTCAGGTTGCATATTTAAAGTTTCATGAAATCTTTTGCACAGTCTCAGGAGGAGAGTGTAATCAGAAGGGAGATCCTCACTTTCTATGAAAACTTTTATGCCGAACTGAGCTTTGCCGTCATGATGCACTGTGTCCGCCGCGTCATGTAAGTAAGCCAGATAAAGCTTAACGTTTTCATAGACAACCCTGTCTCTAAAGCGAGACAAAATGTACGTACTGTCACCAGCCTCAACTCAATGTTTCGCCCTGGATGAAATTTGAATACTTGCCAATATTATTGTTATTGGTACCATTATTCATATGATTGTCAGTATTATTGCTAATAATATTATTATTGCCGTCATTATTATTACTGTCATTATTATTATTATTGTCATTAATATTAATACTATAATTGTTATTATTATTGTTCTTATTGCTGGTATTATTATTATTATCAATATTATTATTATCATTATTATTATTATTATTGTTATTATTATTATTATTATTATTATTTTTATTATTATTATTATTATTATTATTATTATTATTCCTTTTATTGCTGCCTTTATTTTTATTAATCTTGTCATTGTTTTTCCTATTTTTATTTCTGTTATTGTTGTTTTTTAAATTAGTAGTATTATGTTTTGTATTAATTTTGTTAGTATTGTTATTGATAAAATTTGTGTCTCTATTGTTTTTCTTTTTGCTACTGTCAAATCTATTTTACTGTTATCAGTATACTGTTATTCAAATCTATAATACTGTTAGTAGAATTAGTGTCGTGGTTAGGCAGTTTATTCTTAACTTTAATGTTAGATTTATCAAAAAATTTTTCCAAAAGAGTACCTGCTTGCCAATGCTTACGATTTAGAATTTTCCTTAGTTTAGACCTTGGTACGCTGGCTTTAAAGGTGAGATATTTGGCCTTCTTTTTCTTTAATGAAGAAAACTTTTTCAAGTTTTCTTCATTAGGATAAAGATGCTGTCGCATTTTTCTTATTTTGAATTATTTTAAAAATTTTTTGTTTTTATTTTGTTTAAATTTTTTATTTTATTTTTTTTTTTTAAATATAACAGATAAATATTATTATAAAAGTTTAAAGAAAATTTTCAAAAAATTTTCTTTAAACAAAGAAAATTTTCTTTAAACTATTATAATATCAAAAGATATTATAATAGTTTGGAAAAATTCGCAAGAATTTTAAGTATATAAATATGTGCGTATATTTTTTTTAAAGCTTCCTAACTAATTTTTTTAAGGTTTCTATATGAATTGAATAATATTCGAAATTATGGTTTAGCGTATAGAAACACATAAGTATTAAATCATAGGAGTAACATACAGAAATAAATTTTTCAAATAAAGAAAAGGTTTAGCCATAAACAAAATAATATTTTTATTTAAATATATGTACGTACATGAATGTAATTTTTCAAATAAAGAAAAGGTTTAGGCAAAAACAAAATAATAATTTTATTCAAATTTGTGTATGAACAATAAAAATAAAATTTTAAGAACATAAGTACATATATTCTGTATGTATATTTTTTTAAAGTTTGCTGACGAAACATAATATTCAAAACAATAACAAATGAAGCATTAACATTCAGATGCCACAAAACATCTGATGTGTTTAACAAAAGCTGACATTTATTTACGTTAAAATTTTTTCGATTTTTCGAACCAAAAATATGTGATATCATTATATTTTCAAATATTATTTATTTCTCGGTTTGTGTTTCTAACAATAACGTAAAACGTATTTTTTGGTTTGTGTTTCTAATTATAAAATGTATAAAAGAAAAACGTGCTTTTGTTATACAAAATTTTTTTCAGAAAATCTTAAAATAGAGCTATTTGGGGCCTAAAAAGTTCCAATGTCAGATTTTTCTTGGACCCTAGAGCAAAACGCTATCTAATGCCTTTTATCCCATGTCTCTAGCCCTTGTAGAAGTACCCGTACTTTTTGGCACCGGAGAAGTAGCTATATATATAATTAAAGCCTCTTTGTGTAAGGTAGCTACCATACCCGTTATCTGAATAGGTCCAATTACAATAGCAGCCGTTGTTGGCACAAAAGAAACAACTCTTGAACGTTTGGTGTCGATTGCATTATTTTGTTTTCAGTTATCGTGCGATGGGACGGACGGACGGACATATCTAAATTAACGCAAAATTTTACGCTGACCAAGAATATCTATGCCGGACACGACTGCTTCAAGTGGTTTCAAACTAAATCTATACCAAAGTGAATAACTCTTCACGAAGATACGGGATATACAAATTGACGTCACTATCACATAACCAGCCATGTTATGAATAATCTACGAATTTGAGCAAATGACCTTTAATAGAGATTCAGAAATATAAATTTGATTAATGCCATACATATCTATCAGGGCACCAAGCTCAAATTATTTTTTGTCGAAATTTTGAATTGGAAAAAAATTAGAAAACAATTCTCAATGTTTTATGTTTTCGAAGTACATATGTCGATTGAAATATTTTTATTATGATGAATTATACATTATGTATAATGAAAAAAAATTATTGCAGAAATTTATTTAATATTATTATTAATATTTCTTGGTATTGCATTTTGCTGCTATTACAGCTTTTAAGTAGCTTTTCATACTGCTTATCAATTTGTAATTGTTGTTGTGGGGTGAATGCAATTGTTTTCAATCAAAAATCTGACATTCCTTAACAACTTTTGCGCAGTGTTTGGGGTCGTTATCATGCTGAAACATGTATAATCGCATATTTAGACCCAATTTTGCAGCACTTGGCTTTAAGCTGTTTTTCAAAATATCCAAGTAACCATTCTTATCCATAGTGTGGTCAATAAACGTCAGGTTCCCCCTCGCAGAACTCATACAGCCTTATACCATTATGTTACCACCATTAAGTTTTACTTTTGGCACAACGTTTCCTTTGTTGAACTCTGTATTTGGTTTTATTCACACTTTTGAGTTGCCATCGCTTCCAAAGATGTTGAACTTGCTTTCGTCGCTAAAAATTATGTTATTCCAGAAGTTATTTATGTGCTACCGGATTTATTTATGTGCTTTTTAGCAAAATTTATTCGTTTTATTTTGTTGATGTTATTAGGGGTTTTTTTCTAGGTTTTCAATATGTTGTCTTAAAGAAAGGGCCGAAATTTTTGGTTCCTTTTTTACGATGGTGATAACGACATGCTGTCCCTGCAAAGTAAATATTCTTTACATTAAATATTTAATAACATTTTTATATTAGTAAGCTCTATTGCTATTGTTCCATTTTGTTTATAATTTTTTATAACATGTTGAACCATAGCATGACTAACACCTATACAGGCTCCAATTTCTCTAAGAGATTTTTTCACAAAATTTAATTTTTTTTTTTTTTCATATTCATATCATTTATTTCAAACCAAAGTAAAAATTGTACAATTCAATAGCTAATTTACAATTAAGTGACGCATGTGATGAAAGTTCTTTACCTCTGCACATATTTCTTTAATAATATAATTTTGGTCAAAAAAAATATACTACTGTTGCAATAAAATTTTAAATTTGGAACTTTAATGAAAAAAAAAATCAAATTTTGAATTTTTATCGATCTCTTATTTTTCCAAATAGCCAAAATATAATGACTATGAAAACTTTTTCGAGCAAAAATTATACTCCGAATTTTATTTAACTCGGGAAATTCCCTTTTCGTTCAAAATTTATTTTATTTCATTGTCTACATATATGTACAAGTCACGCTTACTTGCATTTATTTTCAAAATTTGTTTGAAATAGAGAAATTTTGAAGACTTTTAATTAAAACACTCAAGGTGTATGAAAACTTATGTTACCCACGTATATCAATATTTCAAAAAAATTTGTTAGTTATTTTCTCAAAAACTATCAAAAATGTAAAATCGTTACTAAAACTCCAGTTACCGAAGTTTAATTTGTACAAATTCATCAATTTATCTCGCTATTTGTAAAACCGTTGACGTAAATTGAAGAAGATTTGGTTGAAATTGATGTACACCAGTTTACAAAAGAATATCTCGCTAAAAATTGTAATTCGTGAAAACTAAACCTATGAAATTTGGTGCGATTAATGAACTGAATTTTTGAATTGTTGTACGTTAGAATGGAGGTTTAGATTGTTATCACAGTCTTTTGGTACCTTTATTTCACATTATTTGCCACGAAAAAACATGGTTAAGAGTGAAAAGTCGATGATATATGTATTATCTTACATATATACATACATATAACTAAATTTCATAGAACAATATTACCTCTAAACTCCTTTTTACAACCAAACCCTATAGAAAATATTTTGAAGTTGATAACTTTGTTTTTATGTAATTTAAAACATATGTATACATATAATTGTTTTCATATTTTCAAAAACCTGCTGCCATTTCAAATAAAGTGCATGTAATCTGAAACTTAACATACCCAATTTTTGAAGGAAAATTTTTGGACATGGAGGTCTTTTTATTTCTTTTAACTTACATTTTCCAAGAAATGCTCTTTGGCGATTGTATAGTTGTCGGTCGAAAAGATACGATTTTCATATGGTTTATAAAATATAATTTTTACTAAAAGAAAAATTTACAAAATTTATTTTTAAAAGACCGCAGTTTCAAGATGAAATGTAGTGGATTAAAAAACTAACACAGAAAATCCTTAAATATAAATGTGTTCTAAACTTCATTCTGCATTACAATAAATTCAAAATTTGTAATTCAAAATATGCAATATAATATGTAAAATTAAATAGGAACGAATTAAAAGTCTAACTCGTATGGTAATATTAATGAAAAAGAAAAGTTATTTTGTATGTATAAATTTTAGTTCGTATGACTGGGTTATTTTTCGTTTTGAATTTAAAACAAAATCTAATCTTATCTAATTAAGTAAAATTAACATAAACCAGATTTGTATTTGCACATTTACATAAATCAAATGTATGCATTTATATATGTAAATAGTTAAACTTTTAAAAATGCACAATAAATATACATACATATGTACATAAGTTGGTTTTATTTTTACAATTCGAATCACTTAAAATAAAGAGATTTTTTATTTGCAGAAACTTCCATTATTTTTTGTCGCGTTATTCAATATAATTACGATTATCCGATCGGTTACGTTCAGGTTTTATTGTGACGTCATTGGAATCGGTTTGGAAAGTTCCATCCCAATTAGTAGGCAAAATAATAGTTTCATTTGAATAGCCGTGTATGTCCCATCCAGAAGACATATTTCGGTTAGCAGCCCCACATTGGTTGTGACTTTGTATGGCTTCTTGTTTGGAACCAACGAAAGTTCCGTCCCATTTTGGAGGTAATTGTGTTGCTTTGGTTTGAAATGCGAAAAAATTCCTGGGATCTGTTATTGATTGGTTATAGCGACGAACTCTGGCTACTTGGCCTGCATCAGTGACACATCCTGGTTCAAATTCAAACTTCCCATTCCATCCTTCACACTTTATGGGAATGTAATCATCCTTTTTTTTCATTGACATTTTTTCAGCACAATATTCAAAAATATATGTTAAACTTAGTCGATTTCAGATATTGTTATTTTTTTTAATTTATAAATTGCCGTTTGCAACAATTTTATTCATATGTATGTAATTTGAACGTTATAAAGTATAATATTGTCCGTACAAATAAAAGCGTAATTGCTACCTTTAGAACTTTTCTGAATACTAATGATTAAAATTAATTTTTATAATATACTTACGTCAATTTTTAAAATTTTATTTGTTTTTAAGTAGGAGAAAAAACTATAAAGCGTTACACCTACGTTAGAACAAAGAAGTTGAAAATTCCATAAATGTACATCATTGTTCAACTAGATAATAGAAATTATATTTTTCACCATTTTTTATACTGTGAAATAAGTAAAAAAAACTTAAAGTCTTAATAAAGAATAACTTTTATTACAAAAAAACTTATGAATTTATTTTGAACTTTTTGTTTTCATTTATTAATGTGAATCGGTCATCCAAACATGTTATGTAACAGGCGAATACTTTTAGATATTTTTATGTAAGATAAATTTACTTATTTAAATTGCTAAATTTTACCTGAAATTTTGCAAAATTTTTTAATATATTACGAGGAATCAATAAAAATGAACAATTGTTTTTATTAATTCTTTGTATTCAGGGTCTTCAAATAGTTTATAATAAAATAAATGTAGTGGGTATTTTTCCAAACACATCAACATATTCTATTTAATATATTCTCGGAATTGTGTCTTTCAACAACGCATTGTGAAAATTCGTCATATAATCGTGACGATTACTATGAAAAGCATTGCGGAAATCAATTTCCCGACAATTTCATTATGCATCTGTAACTTAGCTAGTAGAGGGTCTGTCGTCTGTCTAGAAAGCGTTAAGTCACTCGTGTTTGTCCAGTTCGAAAAGAAAAATATTTCATTATTCGATTCATTTGTTCTGCAGTTGTATTAATTTCCTTTCTTTATCGCTATACAATATACAAGAAATACTTTATTTGTTTAAATTGAAACCGATCCGCATGAAAATTTAGTTACTCAGCAAGTTATTTATTGTTTTTTAATGTATGTCAAATGTAAGTGTTTTTTATACCCTACACCTTCGGGAAGGGTATATTAACTTTGGTATGGAATTTGTAGCCACTTGAAGGAGAAGGTGAAGGAGTATGGACATATATACATATATTCTTGCTCAGCGTTAAAGTCTGTGTTGATTTATACATGTCCGTCAGTCCGCCTGTCCGTTACATCGCACGATAGCTCAAAAACGAATAATGTAATCGACGACAAATTTTCATAAGTCGCTTCTTTTTCCAAGAACGAACCCTACTATAATTGGACCAACGGGTTCGGGAAGCTGCCATACCACTCAAAGAGTTTATTTTAAATATTTCAAAAATTAATAAAGGTATAAATATGATATATATATTTTGTATACGTGTGTTTAAGTACATTCAACATATGCTCTAAAAACTTAAATGGGCCAATAGACCTAGGAATCAATACATCTCTATATTTTAATTCTAATCCTGTTGTTTTCTTCTTAATATGTTCTTTCCATTTTAGCTTGACATCAAGACTAATTTCAAAATACACAAATGCATTTTTACACGAATCTATTTGAAATGCACTACCGAAAGCGAACTCTATAAATTTTTGCGAGAAGGTAAAACTTTGCGAACTCACAAACTTAGTATGTGATATATTATTTGAAAAGATAGAGGAATTTTAAAATTTTTGGAATGGATAAAAGATAAGCAACAGGTCAATTAAATTTTATTAATTGTAATCCAATTTATATATTAACTCATTTTTTCTGTCCTTTTTATAAATCGCCGTAATGAAAGTTCTCTTCTAAACGATTGGGAAAATTTCAGATGAACAAAATTCACATACGTATAAATCTGAAGGACCTACAATGAAGAACGACTTTTACTCAAAAATTATCTGAGCAACGTCTTCTGGTTTTTGGGAAGGAGCTTGAAACTATGTTGGTGAGATATTTTTCTAAGAGCGAGCTCGCGTCAAAATTGAAAAAATAATTCCAAAATAGGTGTTAATATATTCAAAATTATTGTTCAACCTCACTTAATGTAATGCACACATTTTTACCCACCGTGTTGTGTATACAAATTTTACATATCGAGTTTTCGGTGGGAACGCACTTCTCTTTGGCAGGGAAGTGTAAATAAACTATTTTTAGCAACCTGTCGGTCTGTCGGTTTGTGTGTGCACGCGTGTATTTCAAGTTCGGCTGAACCGATTTTGATGAAATTTTATACGTAAATTTATCTCGACTATGGCACAGATTGATCAAATTTTGGGATATATCAGGAACTGCACTTTTTAGCGGGCCTCTTTTATATTATTGTTCATTATGAAGAAAATATTCAACAGATTTTCTTGAAATTCCATATATAAGCTTCGCTCGACCCTCCGCGGAACCTCATAGTTTTGGGAAGAAATCAGGCTTCAGCAACTGGACGTTTACTACGGGCCAAATATACAGTTTTGCGTATATAAAGGGAAATAATCAACATATTTCATTGAATTTTTTTTCTCTTTGTCTGTCATCAAAAGAAGGAAGAAAGCATGAATGCTACTAACATGCCATTCCCTGGCAACCCATTGTTAGTTATGTGTTTTACCACCAAAACCTCCTCCCTATATGTTATAGTTTTTTCAACGCTCCCCGATTTGGTGACGTACATTTTGCGCTAAATCAGAAGACAAATTCCTCTTTTATGGAATACTACATATGGCCAACTACATATGGAATTTTTAGATTTCTGTGCAAATCTCCATTCAAGGGGCATCCACCATATTCCATAAAACCCTATTCTGCAACATTTGTAATCGCTGGACATGTATTTGTTTGGCACATCCTCGCACTGAATACCATATAACCAAACCGGTTTAAGTATATGGTTATAGAGCAGGATCTTATTCTGTGTTGGTAATCTTGACTTGCGACTTAGGAGCTAATATATCTCTATATTTTGATTCTAATTCTGTTGTTTTCTTCTTAATATGTTCTTTCCATTTCAGATTGACATCCAGTGTCATTTCAAAATATTTTGCCGGATTTTCCTGCGCAATATTTACCCCATTTAAATTAAGACGTGGAGGGTTTACAAGAATTTTATTTGTAAATTTTACTTATGCAGACTTAATTTCATTTACTTTTATTTTCCATTTTTTGGCTCAAAACTATTGCTTGCCTGCTGCAACTTTCCTGTGCCCTCAATTATAGCTCCCATTCTTTCTAGTAATAATTTTTCAAAAAGTTTCGACAAAATTGGTAGCAGAGAAATTGGTATATAAGATTTGGTCTCATTTAAAGGTTTACCAGGTTTTAGTATCATTATAACTTCTGCCACCTTCCAAGCATTAGGCACATATTTTAACCTTACTGCAGAGTTTATTAAAAACGTCAACATTGTTATACCTTTTTTTGGTAATTGCTTCAGTATCTCAAAGGTAATTAAATCATAGCCCGTTGCTTTCCTTGACTTTAAACTTTTTATTTCTTCCACTATTTCTCTTTGTGCAAATTATTTTTTTTGTTTTGCAAGGTGAAAAAATCTCGAAAGACGAAGAAGGACGGCGCTACCACCTTTTTCTTAAACTGACCCTACAGGTCTATTACCTCTGCGATAACTTGGTTTTACAGTACAGGAATTAAATACCTTTACCAAAATGTATATACCATGGCGCATTTACCATGCCCGGTACTTTATTCTGGAAGGTTTAAATTTTCTTAAAGTGAGTATTCTTGGCACAACCCCACAGTTGAATGCCATATAGCCATACTGGTTTAATGATTTGGTTATAAATCAATATCTTATTACCGATTGCCAAAGTTGATTTACGACCTGGGTGCCAATTATTTTCTCTATATTTATTTTCTAATTCTATTTGTTTCTTCTTTATATGCTCTTTCCACCTTGGTTTGACATCTAAAGTTATCCTAGGTATTTTGCTGAGTTATGGATTGCTACGTTCGTTCAATGTAAGTTAAGGTGGATTCACTATTTTTCGATTAAAGAAGTTTATGTGAACCGCTTTTACTTCGTTAAACTTCACTTTCTAATCTGGGTTACCTAGTCCACTGGGTTATTGTGTCGAATCGTCAATATACTACAGCCTGCGGTTTAGAAGAAAACTACATCAAAAATTTGGAAAAAACGTCTTTCAGATAACGGTAAATTTGAAAAATGCTCATGGTTCCATTGCAACAAATAGTTAAAAAAGGCCATATTTTAGGATTTTGAGGGGGGGGGGGGGGGGGATAACTTTTAGAGTGGGTGACATAGGTAAAAATTTTGTTCTACTGAAATAAGTTTCTAGTAAAGTTCAATGTAAATATAAAATTTCACTTTTCTATCTTCAGGGTGTAGAAGTTTTGTAAACAAGTAAAGTGTCCACGGACGCACGGACGGACGAACGGACGGACGGACGGACAAACGGACTGACAGAGTGACACTAATAAGCATTGTTTTCAAAAACTTTCACTTTTTTGGAAAAGTGCTAAAAAGAGAAAAGCCAGACGTAGATGGCAACGTTCGCGTCACCCTGATAATAAGACTGTTTTAAACAGACTTTTCCGGGTGCTTAAAAGAAAAATCCAAGAATTTAAATTGGAAACTATATAAAGAAATTATATAAAGAAATTTTCAGCTACAACGGGCGAGGGGCAATATAGAGAAAGCCAAATTGTTTGCTAATCACTTAGAAAGCATATTCACACCAAACGGAATAACATCAGATGAAAGTTTAGTAGAATCTATCGCAAATGAAGCAAGCAGCTTAGCTCTACTTACTCAATTAGAAATTGCGGAAGAGATGAGATACCTGAAGTTGAAAAAACTCGCCAGGTTTTGATCTTATTTCTGCGGAAGTACTGAGAGAGCTACCAGTTTTGGTGCCCAAACCCGGGAAATCCTTGAGGGTAACAAAGTCTTACACGCCCATTTCACTGTTACCAATGATGTCTTAGTTTTTCAAAAGCAGCTATTAAAGAGATTGTAGCCAATAATGGAAAATAGAGGCCCCATACCAAACTATCAGTTTGGTATGGGGCCTCTATTTTACAATAGACCAGGTTCATACAATAATGAATATTACAAAAAAAAGCCTGAAAAATAAAAAAATAAGGCAGTATATTGGACC